TCTGCAGAGCTTTATGGCATTTTACTATCTGTTGATCACATACTAAGAAACAATATAAGGAAAGCTATTCTCTTTGTTGATTCTCAAAGCGCATTACTGGCTGTGTCCTCACTGCTCCCTACAAAGAATCTTCTTACCTTACATACATGTATGAGGTAAATTATATGGAGCCCTCCGACTTGGACATGACAATAAATTTTGTTGGGTGCCGAGTCATGTCGGGATTCCAGGGAATGAGAAAGCCGATAGATTGGCTGCATATGTCATGGATTTAGTAGCAACTTGTGGATTACCTCATCAAGATTTTAAGCTGTTTTTGACGAAATCACTCTTCATGTCATGGCAGTTGGAGTGGGACAGAGAGTACGACAATAAGCTTCGTGTCATAAAACCCATTTTGGCCCTGTGGGAGAGCTCGTTTCACAGGGAACGGCGTGTAGAGGTTCTGCTCTGCCGCCTAAGACTCGGCCACACACGCTTGACACACTTGCACCTTCTTTGTGACGAAAATGTGAAGCTTTGTTCCCTTTGTGGGAAAGGACTTACAGTGTTACACATTTTATGGCATTGCCCTTTTCACCATCAGTTACGCCGGTCTAGCGTCCCTGAACTTTTTTTAGAGGTTATCTTCCCTTTCATCCAATGTTTTTACTTAGTGACTGCCCTTTAGTGCCTTTTCACCGTGTTCTCGACTACCTAAAGAAAACTGGCTACCTCTACCAGTTGTAATTTTTTTTATACTGTTATCTTAAACCGTTTTGTTTAGTGCCAGCTAAACAACATTGAATTGGCACAATATGACCTCCGTTGTCACAGCGCCACTAAAACCCTAATCGTCGTCGTAGCTCTAAGTGCCAAAGATTATATTGTATGAAACATGCCTGTATTACCTTTTTACTACAATTATGAATATATATGAGCATAGTTTTCTTAATGCTAGTCCACAGCTGTAATGTTATGATTAGACTGGTTGTTTCTCAGCATATTTTTTTCATGTGTGCATTGAGTTGTTTTTTGTAATTCAGAGTGTCTAACGATGGTTCCAGCACTTGTCTGGTGCACTGAGTAGCAACACATGAATATGAACACTGTGGCAAGAAAGATAACAACTTCAACCATAAAAGAGACAAAAAGCACTCAATAGTGATTGGACAGTAAATCGTGAATAGCAATACATGAATATGAAAATAGCTGTAGCAAGAAACCATTTCGTCGTTTACCCTGAGACGGGGTTTTTTTGAAGAGCAGAAGTAACAGAAAAAACAGACAGTTCTCAAACTCAGCTACAAGTTTATTTCAACAACCTCCTCTTATATAGTTCGTTCTCGTCGTCATCAACCAATCACATACGACTTGTCCTCTGCACCGTGACTTTACAGGTTCCACTCTATCACAAAAGAAGCGGACACTCCCTAGCGTTTCCAAGTGAAAAGGTTCTAGCAGAAGATATGCCTCACAAAGACTTCAAGCAACTCTTTTGTGTCCTCACAATAAACAGGACAACAGCCCACAACAACATCCCACTCAAAACCGGTCACCTCCAAAATTATAGAAAACAGACAATACCCTCTAATACACACCACAGACAATACACACCAAAAAAGCCTTTCAGGATGACTAAAAAAAGAAAAAAACACTTAAAGCTGTAAAAATTGCTTGCAGCGGTTCCCTATTTGCATGGAAGGTTGACTAATGCAATTTCCCAACGATCTAATTCTAATTGTTTCTCTCACCACCCTTTTAATATCGTTGCTTTCCTTAACAACTACATCCGTTCCAGACCAATCCGTTGTGCAGTTCCTACACTCCTCCAGATGCTTAGCCAACTCCGAATTTGCTGCATTATTTTTAACATTCCTTTTGTGTTCTGTTAAACGATCGTTCAAACACCGAGAGGTTTGGCCTACATACTTAAAACCACACGCCAAAGGAACCTCATACACCACGCCTACGCTACACGGCACCGACTTTTCCCTATGCGCCTTCTGACAGCACCTCTGAACCGTTTCAAAAGGTGTCAATCTATCTAACCTAAAATCCGTGCTGAATACGACATCCACGCCATATTTTTTTGCACATGCTCTAAGATTGTAGGACACCTTGTGAAAATACGGAACCACAGCGTACCTATTCCTGATTTCTTGCGTCTTCCCCTTTTTCTCCCTGCACTGAAGGGCAATCTGCCTTTTGATGTACTCTTCCCCATAGCCTGCCATTACCAGTCTTTCCCACTGGTTTTTTAGTGCCTCCGGTCCGAAATGTATGCATGATCTCACCAAAGCATTACGAATCAAAGATCTGACTACCCCGGCTTTTACATTTTTCGAGTGACAGCTACTCTTTGACAGAACCGGTTTTGGGTTTTCCTTCCCATACTCCCAATAAAGACCTCGTTCCAAATGTAAACGCAGGTCGAGAAATTGTAGGACCTCGCCCCTTGGCCTCTCTAACGTGAATCTCAACTCTGGCGCTGCTGACCTTACTACTTGTTCCAAAACTTGGTCCAACCCTTCCTGAGCAGAGCAAACTAAAATATCATCCACAAATCTTTTCACAAAACACTTTGGAGACACCTTCTCTACCTTGTCATACACTTGTTGGTCCACCGTGTTTAAGTATATTTCCGCTAACAAAGGCGCTACAGACGAACCTATACAGACTCCCTCTTTTTGCACAAAATTTCGACCTTCGTATTCCAATACCGTTGACTTTAAATAAAGGTCTAGCACCGAAAGAAAACTATCCACCGCTAATCCTGTTCCTGATTGAAACTTAATAAGGTTCCCTTCCAAGGCAATCCTCACTCTATTCATTAGTCTGTTTTTCTCTAAAGAGTAATATAGGTCCTTGATGTCCATGGAGAATACCGCGCACTTCCTTCCGTGAAACTTTTCCATTACTTCAATCAACTCACTAGAGTTCCTAAAGGCAAATGACTTCTCCAAATTAGCTAACTTCAAACCCCGCTGTAGGAAGCATGAGACCACCCTCTGCCACGTCTGTAGCAAGAAATATAGTAATTTCAAACATTCCTCAAAACATCAAAGACAAAAACATACTCAATAGTAATGAACCTTGAAGGCTCAAACTACTATGTGAAAAGTAGATTTTCACTTCCACCATCTAATCTCGCTCAATCATATTTGGGATAGTAGACAGATAGCCGATATGAGTCATTGACACACAGAGTTGGGACACCTGACTTGTCATGATTATCTTCATACGCGAAGTCCTGTGTACTGGAGAACATCTAAAGAGGTGGGCAACTCTCGGGTCCTTCTGGCAGGAATGTGGAGAGCAACATAGTAGATGTTGGCCACTTTTCACCTCCCAGATCTTCTCCAGTACATAGTGCTGGTCATCAGTAGCCGTGAAAACCGAATACTGGTTTTCTTAGGTCGCCTGTATGAGGCTGAATGGTACTGCTGACCACATATGGAGATGCGCTGGTGCTCCACAGCCACAACAGGAATCCGTCCTAGCTTCTCATGTTGGGCAACTAGTTCTGACTCACTGAAGGCTATGGACATTTTACCAGTTCCTAGTGTGTGCGTCGACATATCTCTCGAAGGAGCAGCCATCACAGTACAAAAAGCAACTGTCGCCTGGGTCAGCTCTAGCCTGCTCGAGATCTTTTTGAGATGCTGCTGCATCACAAAACGTTCCAGCACTTACAATGGAACGCCATTGCCTCCACTCACAAGTTTCAAGAGGTGTCCATTCCCCGACTCAAAAATAAATGTCGAGTGTGACCACAGAGGTCCTAGCTTGTGCACACTTTTTGCCAAATGTAGGAGTTGGTGCACGTTAGAGGAATTGCGGCTGCATCATAGAGCAACTGCATTTGCACAACAAACTCTGTGAGCTGGTCAGATGCCGTTGAGATGTCCTGGATTGTCACAGCATCCTTCAGGAGGAGGAACACCGAGTTGACCAGCAGGCAGAGGTGGTCCAAGTACCTCTAAGGCAGAATGCCCCTCAAGCAGGTGACCACATAGTGGAGAAGCCGACCTCTCCACTCACTGGCCTTCCAGTACTGCTTATCTAGCAGTGATCGAGGCAGCCTGGTGAACCATTGTGGGGGTTTCACCTGAACGGAGGCGTCTGTCGATCCTTGCCAGAGTTGATGGGGCCCCAACATAGAACTCCGACCCTGTTGAGCTGATCCACATCTCACACAGCTGCTTTACAGTGCCCTCAAGGACACTGTGCATGTAGTCGGGGTTCTCGCCCCAAACGAGGTCAAAACCTGGCAGGTTCATCAGTGGCGTAGGCCCTTTGATGCCCACGGTGTCCCTTGTTGTAGGGCTGTGACCATGTCCCGCTTGACGCCCTTTGATGTCCTCTCAGGCGGCATTGCTTGATTTGCAATTACTGGATACTTCATCGAGCCTAAAAACAAAAGGAACCTATTATTTTCTACTTTTTTTCTGAATAAATCTGCTGCCTCACAATTTCAGAAATGGAATGAAATAATACCCCAGGGTATTAAAATGCATTAAAACAGTTACTGAGGTTTACAAGTTTACACAAAATATCCAGTTAAACATAAAATTTTAGGCACCCCTTAGGTTTGCACATCTTGTGGTGAAACTGCAAAGAGCAAGGGCTCGGGAAAACTTTTTTTTTAATTTTGATTTTTCGCAATGCGTCAGGCATCAGGACATATAGAACTGGAGTGTCAGAGGTACTATTAATCGTGAACAATATGAGCATGAACAGAAGTCTGCAATTTTTTTTACTCATCTACATGTTTTAAACAAGTTATTGTTGAGACGAAGGTTAGAGATACAAAGTTTAGACCCCCATCTATGTGCAGTCCGAAGGTTGAGAATTATCAAAAAGTATGGGAGCCGGAGACATAGTAAGAAGCCAGATCAAGCGTTCCTTTTCAAATTGTTCCCGGTAGTACATGTGAGTACTTTTTGTTCTGCATTATTGTTATCGAAACTTCAATCATGTCCAGTGCCCCATGAAGAACGCATTTTACTTACCATTAAGAAAAGTTCCTTCTTGTAGGCAGTAGCTACCACCGAAGTATCCGTTATACTGCTTGGCACTCAGCACTGCTGCACGTGCAGGCGCATCGACACAGCAACATACAACTCTCACTCTTGACTGGATAGCTTGCCCTTCGCAGTCCCCCGTGATGACGCCCACCTGTCCAACCTCTTGCACAAACTGTTCAAGATACATAGTCATGTCTGGGTGGCCAGGCCCAAACCACAACCCACAAAGTAGAACGTTGCTCCACCGTAGAGCAATTGGGAGCTCGTTCACAACACACTGCAGTGGCCACAGGGACGACTTAGAGGAGTTGAAGACTCGTGCCCCATCCGTGTTCATCGTGAGAGTGAGGTCACTCCATGAGCCTGCTGCCGCTTCTTTCTGGTATAGAGTGCCATCCACAATGTCAGTCATTGTGCCATCCACACATTCTCTTGAGTGCAACAAGCAAGCTCTTCGCAGTTGTCTTGTTCTGAAGGAGGATCGCTATCTGCTCCTTCAGGTCGACAGTTGTAAAAAGATTTCCCTGCGTGAGATCATTTCGAATGCTTTCACTACAGCTCGGACACTTGAGGTCTTCTTGTGGCTTACCAATATATGCGTTACACACTGTGCAGAAGAGGTGGCGATGGATCATACGACCTTTCAGACTCGACCAGGTCTTGCGCAGGAGATATGTCGTTTCAGGCAGTGCATCTTTGCCAACCAAGAAGTTTGACAACTTCAACAACCCCTCCATTTGGGACCAGTTCAGCCCGGACTGCGCGCCGTATGACACAATACCTATGATTGCTTCTGCCACTGTGAGTACCCCATTGGGCAGGATCACAGTGGAGTACTTTGCAAAGAAGTTCTGCCAGTCCCTGTCACTTTCGTCAGGGTCGCAATCGCCGTCTTCACCGTTGCGAGTACCGGTGTCATCAACGCCGCGGGAGTCGTTGAAGTGGTAGCTCCCGTCACGGTCGCCACTCTCTTCACGGTCGTGTGTTTTGTTGCTCGCACCACCGTTGGCGTCCCCGAGGCCTTCATGTAAAGCCTCTTGCTCTTCACTTTCAGAGCAATCGGCCCGCGCATCGCCTTCCCCGCCATCTTGAGTCATCTGCATCTCATTGTGTTGCACGACTTGGGCGGCAGAAGCAGACTCTGTTGAAGCGGCAGCGTCAGCAGCATTGTGCTGTTTTCTTTGAAACAGTGCAGTTGTTCTTGGAACATTGTACTAGTCATTTCCAGGTTCAAGGTATTGTTTTCTTTTCACTGAGCGAGCACTCATATTTCAGCCACTCAGCAGAATCGCCATATACCAGCACGAAGCCCCACCGATGAATGCTTGGATTGGATTGGATTCTAACATGTAGACGGTAGAGTTTACTTCTGACATTGTTGCCAAGTGAATGAGTAACAAATTGGTAATTAATTATTTAGATTCTTAGTAAAATTAAAATGTGTACATATATAACCATTCTACTAGTTTCTTAAAATATGGCTTCGCTGTATAACGTAGTAGGTGATTTGCCGACATACACATTACGAATTTAAACGGAACAAAATGTGGAACAAAGTATTCGGTGTCTTCAGAATTAGATAAGCAGAGATCAGTGTTCTGAATATGTGTAGTATATAAGGGATCTCGGGTGTGCTCTAGAGTGCAGTCTAGGGTTTGGAACCGCCGGTACATACAGAGTGAACTCGGACTGCAAGAGCGTTCCGCTCATGTGCACAACATGTGGCGACGTGGCCTAGAGAAATGCCATTTGAGAGGCCAGTTTACGATAAGGAAAGAATTACTGGCTCGACTTCGCCTCCTGAAGCTCGAGGGAGGCGCTCAACCATCTACAGATGTTAGACCTCATACTTTCACCTTACGCCAGTATATCTTGATTTAGCATGTGGGCCTGCACACCATGCGGCATTTTGTCCCGTTCGGATGCTACAGCTCATACCGCCGATCAACCAACCTAATGAGAAAGCTGCTAAATATAGTCAAAAAGATCCCTCTCATTGCACTTCTCGGTACACCGTAAAATAAACACGACTAAATAGCTTTTCAGCGCAAAATACGCAATAGGTTCCGGCTTGGCCTAAAGCTGAAGAATGTTCAGCGAATGACGGATATATGTCAGCTCGCTAGAGCTAAGGAGATTCATTCGAACTAAAAGGCTTTATTCCACTGACAGCATAGGAACGGCACAACAGGCTTGCTACAATTTAGGACAGCGACTGAATTACTGATGACATTTCACGTACGTGCACGAACACACGCCGCGGTTATGACTTAGTTCGATGCCCCCAGATCGTAATCTTCAGCTGGTCGGCGATGGCATAAACGCGCAACCGGCGCGCTCTACGCGTCTACTGCACTGTTTAAAAAAATTCACCATGAAATATGATCATTCACTATGTTCATGTCGCGGAAGCCGAGCGGCGTTGTCAAGCTCGTTTTAGCGCGACCAGTTTATAGAACCTTAAAGCTTCGAGAAAATGGCGGCCGCCGGCATATATCCTCAAATTTAGCAGCCCAGCTTGCCGAGTACTCTTGGCAATGCATGCAGTGCACGCTCGAGCTTGAGATGACATTTATCTTACCAACAACGCCGTTTCAACGAAGCTCGCTTTAGCGAAGAGGCACGTTTTATCGAAGCATGGTTTAGATAATGCAGAGCCTCAGTTTAGAGAAATGCGGTCTGCAGGGCAAGCTTAGGTTCCGAATGGACCTCCCTTCGCGTCGCTCACTATTGACTGGCGAAAGCTCGCGCTGCAGAACCCAGAAATCCTGGGTTCGAGCCCCACCCCTGCCCATTTTGATCTGGATGAGCATCGTACCAGCGTGCGGTCCCCGCAGGGGGCACCTGTGAAAGCAGGTGTTTGGTGAGTGGCGTCACCACGGACCCCGAGTCATGCGTGTTCGCCCGCCTACGTCTGGCTGTGCGTGGCAGTTCCGTGTCTGCATCCTGGTGTTTGAGCCGAGCCCGGGGTAGGTTTGTACCCTTCGGGGCCCCCGGGTGAGGCAATACATTACTTCGGCCCCCGCTTCTCCTAGACGGGAGTCCTGGTAAGGCCCGGCCAGGATGATTCAGTCTAGTCGCGTTTTCTTCTACTATCCCCTCTTTCTCTTTTCTCCCCTTCCCTCTCCCTCACTTTCACTTTCTTTGGCGGCAAGGGCCAACCTTGTGTGGTGGCAGATACCCTTATCCTAACCACACTTGGGTATAGCACCTGGGCAAGTGCTAGTAGATCAGCGGTTCCAGCAAAGCCCATTTTGTTATGGGCTGCTGACCACTCCCTAAGTTGGGCTCGATGGTGGGCGGCACACCGCAGGTGTCGAAATCTTTTTCCCGTTCATATGGGTTCCAAAACTAAATCTTTCCTTGATCGGGCTCCGAAAAGGGTCCAGACCGAAGTGACAATATCGACAAACTCTACCCTGCCAGTCAAATTTTCCTAAATTTTTAGTAATGCACTCGGAGAACGAAGATCAACCACTTGCAAAGCTTTCCCCGTTCTTGGTCGCAAAGACTCTAGAAACTGTGATTGCAAAATCTTTTAAAGCCAAAAAAACTTCCATCTGGTGACCTGCTTGTGGAGGTCACAAATGCTGAGCAAAGCAAAGCACTTCTGGCACTCAACCAAGTAAGAGATAGCAAAGTATCCGTGACTCCACATCGCTCACTTAACAGCACGCAGGGTGTCATCTCTGAAGATGATCTCCTTAGAATATCTACCGACGAAATACTTGAGGGACTACAAGATCAAGAGGTGGTCGCTGTGCGACGAATCACTATCCGTCGCGACGGTGAAGAACGGGACACAAAACACATTGTGCTAACGTTCAACTCGACGACGCTCCCCTCCACAGTTAAAGCCGGGTATCTCAACTGCAAAGTTCGCCTCTACGTCCCCAATCCAAGGCGTTGCTTCCGCTGTCAGCGCTTTGGACATGGGTCACTAACCTGCAGAGGAAAAGCCACCTGTGCAAAATGTGCAAGCACTGACCACCCTTCCGACAACTGTGGCAACAATACCCATCTTTGCGTCAACTGCCGAGGGACACACCCAGCATATTCTCGCAGCTGTCCCCTGTGGAAGAGAGAGAGAAGGATATTCTCTCACTAAAGGCGAAAGAAAATATTTCTTACCCAGAGGCATGCAAAAGATATTCTTTTATTTCTCAAGGCTCTTATGCCGAGGCCACGCGCAGGGGACCGGCGCGATCGACGGCATCAACGGGAACGCAGACGTCAACGGACGACCTGCGTCCCCCCGCTCAGCCCCCCTCAACCTCGTCTGGAGTGGCACAAAGCACTTCAACCCCAAAGCGAAAGGTAGATCCTATCGCTTCGGGGTCCATTCAAGCGCAGGGTTCTCCAATCCCTGCGCCATCCAAAACCCAGGTGCCTCGAGGTCGAGGACTTCCTTCTCGTCCCTCTGAAGGCGCCCGAAAACCTGGTGAGCCGTCGGGGTCACAGGTCCTTAGGGATCAGCCTGAGGCGGCCCCCGATGAGCCGATGGACGAGAGCGGGACCAAGTCCAAGGACGACAGGCCCTACTCAAGCTCAGAGTCCTTACCTTCGACCTCCTGTGGTAACACAGATAGGCCGAAGAACACATCTAAAAAGAAAAATGCACCCCGCATCAAAATTGATTTTTAGGTCTAAATGAGTGGTCTTTCTTCTAATTCATGCATAATGGCAGCATTCCTGCAGTGGAACTGTCGAGGGTTGCTTCGAAACTACGACGACGTGCGCTCTCTGTTAGACCAGCATCACCCTATAGCATTTTGTCTTCAGGAAACACACTTAAACAATAGTCACTCTAATATCCTAAGGCGCTTTCAGGTTTTTTGCAGGGACAGACCTCTTCTGTCGCACAGTTCTGGTGGAGTAGCTATAGTTGTCCAGCCGTCTACCCCATGTGTTGAGGTTCCTTTGAATACCACTCTGGAAGCCGTGGCAGTTCGTGTTCTGTTGGACCGTATAATAACCGTCTGTTCGCTTTACATTCCTCCAAGTTATCCTGTATCCCACGAAGAGCTTGAATCACTTCACGACCAATTACCCCAACCTGCCCTAATTCTGGGTGACTTCAACGCTCATAATCCTCTTTGGGGTAGTAGAAGAGGAGATACAGGTGGCTCGATGATAGAGCGTTTTCTTTCCTCGACAGCTATACGTGGAACCAAGAAGTGAACAATAAGTTGCATGCCATAAAACCTTTAATTCAAGAATGGGAGAGTGCACGTCATCGTGAGCGATTTTATGAGGTGGTATTATGTCGACTCCGAATTGGTCATACACGTCTTACCCATGGGCACCTTTTGCGAGGGGAGGATGCTCCAGAGTGTGAACACTGTCACATACCATTAGGCATCCTGCACATTTTACTTGTATGCCCTTTGTATGACCAAGAACGCCACAGACACTTTGCTTAGGTTTACCAAGAGCATACGCCATTACATCTCGCCCTTTTACTCAGCGATGAGCCGTTGATTCCACACAAGTGTGTTTTCAACTTTCTTAAGGATGTAAGACTCCTGGACCAGCTATAATTTTAATAGTTCGCCGTATTCATTGCCACATCTTATGCGCTTGTACTCTCATGATCATTGTTTTATCAAACTACAAGCTACTATAGCTCTTTCTTCTCTTTGACCTTGATTTCAGCAATAGTCCTATTTTTTGGCGCATTATAGCCTTGGTCGCTGCTGCGCCATTAAACCCCAATCAATCAATCAATCAACAACGGATACTTTGGCTGCTCCTGGTGCCTCCACCCTGGAGTATGTATCAAGGGTAAGAAAAATATTTGATTCTGCTACTTTTGAAGTAGCGCAATCAAATTATTAAATATTAGAAATAATAATTTCTAATATTAATAATATTTTCTCTATTTTCCAACAAAATTAATGTTAAAAAAGAAAAAAAATATTAGAAAAGAGCTTGACTGGCCCTAAGCCACCAAAATACAGCAGCAGATCATCTCAAAATCTACATTTATAAGTAACCAATAAAAAAAGAAATGGTGAACTTGCACAACAAAATATGCACATGGGAAAAAAAAAAGAAAACTGCCATACCGTACAATACCGCACATCTGCTTATTCCCAAATTTGCAAGATCTGAGAAAATATGTTCAGTACATTTATATGTAAAAGTGGTTACCGGACAAGTGCCCACCCCCCATTTTCTTTCTGATTATCTCCGAATTTTAAGTGGGCACATGCTCAGCATTTGACAGTGTGTTGTCAATTTAAATATTTATGGCACTAAACTTGTTGAGAATGGTCAGAAGAGAATTATTGTATGATGGCCATAATTTCTTCTAGCAAATAGTACTTCCCAAGG